TGTGTGTACAAATCCACGAGGGCCTTACCGAGGGTTCGAACTTACGCCCGGGATGTTCCCAGACGCGCCTTAGTCAACTGGGTCTGGGAATACCCCGTGCGTAAGTTCGAACCCTCATCACGGCCCTTGTGGATTTGTTCATTTGATATATTATGCTATTGTGATTTCTATGTGTAACTACTCTGCTCTGCATCATCTGGGCGACTGCCGTACAGGGAACAAGTTACCCGTGTCGGGTATAAGAGGATTTTAAAAATTATTGCTCTGCTTATTCGAACTTCAGGTTATGGGGGGGGGGGGGTACAAGTTACCGTATTGTTGATGTAAGTTTTTTTATGTTTGAGATATATACAAGAGTTGTTACATTCTTGTACAGCCACTAGTACGCGTAGCGTTTCGGGCAGGTCCCTGGAATACGATCCCCGCCGCGAAGAATCCTTGTTACAACCAAGTACACATTTTACTGTTGCGTTAAACAGAGGCTACAGTTAAGGAATTGTGCCCAGTAAATCCTCCCTGGCCAGGATACGAACCCATGACATAGCGCTCGCGGAACGCCAGGCGAGTGTCTTACCACTGCACCACGGAGACTGGTGAATGTTCTCTATAATATTTTTCCAGTATGTCATTAATGTGTTATATATTACTGAGCCTTTGCTTTACTTGATATTAGGCACCATAACATTTGGCTCCCCGCATGACTTCTATTTAATTACAATATTTATCATTTTCCTGTACCACCAATTTTGAAAACCAAATTACTTGAGTTTACCCGCATTGGAAGACATATGTATCATTTTCTGTGTTTATTACATTCTCTGTTCCAGGGATAACTGTGATATTTCTCGTCGTCGACACAAGTCCTCTGTCCCCCGACACAATTAATTATTATTATTATTATTATGAATTATATGATGATGAACAAAAGTGATCGAAACGTCATGTGAAGCTTTATTAAGTAAAAAAAAAAGTATGGGTAATGCTGGGTGTTGAATGGGTATTAGTGGCAGCTGTATAGGAAGTGATGGCTTGAAGTATTTGAAGTTATTTCAGAGACGATTGAGGGGAATGAAGCAGACAGCAACTGAGAGTGAACGGAGGTAAAAGGAAGGAAGAAAGATTGAGAAAAACGGAACTGGATTCATTCAGGACCATGGGAGAGGGATGAGGCTAATGGAGAAGGAACAAAGCACAGGAATGGAACGCCAGAAGAGAGGAACGAGTGGGAAATAGAGAAGGGGAGGAGGGGGGGGGAGGGGGGGGGGGGAGGAGGGGGGGGAGGGGGGGGGGGGGGAGGGGGGGGGAGGAGGGGGGGAGGGGGGGGGGGGGGGGGGGGGAGGAGTGTCTGACGAAAAATAAATTGTTCTAATTTGATTTCGTTAAACTCTGAGGAGAGCTGATCGCACGTCCCTGTCTTGATCAGTAAATATACACTGATTGTGGCGTCTTGATGAACGACCCCTGGGGCTGCTAGTGTGGGGTCACCACCACACAACCCAGCGACCCCTGGGGCTGCTAGTGTGGGGTCCCCACCACACAACCCAGCGACCCCTGGGGCTGCTAGTGTGGGGTCACCACCACACAACCCAGCGACCCCAGGGGCTGCTAGTGTGGGGTCACCACCACACAACCCAGCGACCCCAGGGGCTGCTAGTGTGGGGTCACCACCACACAACCCAACGACCCCAAGGGCTGTTAGTGTGGGGTCATCACCACACAACCCAGCGACCCCTGGGGCTGCTAGTGTGGGGTCACCACCACACAACCCAGCGACCCCAGGGGCCGCCAGTCACCACCACACAACCCAGCGACCCCAGGGGTCGCCAGTCACCACCACACAACCCAGCGACCCCAGGGGCCGCTAGTCACTACCACACAACCCAGCGACCCCAGGGGTCGCCAGTCACCACCACACAACCCAGCGACCCCAGGGGCCGCCAGTCACCACCACACAACCCAGCGACCCCAGGGGCCGCCAGTCACCACCACACAACCCAGCGACCCCAGGGGCCGCCAGTCACCACCACACAACCCAGCGACCCCAGGGGCCGCCAGTCACCACCACACAACCCAGCGACCCCAGGGGTCGCCAGTCACCACCACACAACAGCGTGAAAATGGTGAATGTTTTCATTGTATAATCAGCACAAGTTTGTTGGAAGAAGCGAGAAAGTTTTTGTCACAGCTTATTTTTTATATGGTGAAAAGGTCTTAATGAGAAAGACGCTGTTAATAGCGAGGAATGAATAAAAAATGGAGGCGATGGATGAAAGTGAGGAGGTGGTGGTGTAGGAGGGGGGAGTGTGGAGGATGAGTGGGGGGGGGGGAGGGGGAAGGGGAGAAGGAGGTGGTAAATGAGAGGAACGAGAAGGTGAAGAAGACGAAGGAAGAGGAGGAGTTTAAAGGGAGTCTAGAGCGCCTCCGGAGCATCTTATCTTTGGAAGGTTTTTCTTACCATTAGCGGAGCCTATTACTCCTGTATGGTCGGTCTGGAGCACCGGGAGTCTGGTGGAGCCGAGGGCGAGGAGGAGACGGGGACGAGGGGGAAGGGGAGGTGGGGACGGAGAAGGAGAGAGGAGAGGTGAAAACGGACAAATGTATGCCACCCGCAGGGACAATAAACTGGTGAGATTATGTCAAAGAATAACTTGATACAGGATGGAGCTGGAATCATGTGAGCGATCACATAAAAGAATTGTGAGAGGGCGAGTTGGTGGCTATATAGTGTTCAGCACCTTGGTAGTTATGTGCTTTGTGCTCACTCGGAGTGCTCAGCACCTTGGTAGTTATGTGCTTTGTGCTCACTCGGAGTGTTCAGCACCTTGGTAGTTATGTGCTTTGTGCTCACTCGGAGTGTTCAGCACCTTGGTAGTTATGTGCTTTGTGCTCACTCGGAGTGTTCAGCACCTTGGTAGTTATGTGCTTTGTGCTCACTCGGAGTGTTCAGCACCTTGGTAGTTATGTGCTTTGTGCTCACTCGGAGTGTTCAGCACCTTGGTAGCTATGTGCTTTGTGCTCACTCGGAGTGTTCAGCACCTTGGTAGTTATGTGCTTTGTGCTCACTCGGAGTGTTCAGCACCTTGGTAGTTATGTGCTTTGTGCTCACTCGGAGTGTTCAGCACCTTGGTAGTTATGTGCTTTGTGCTCACTCGGAGTGTTCAGCACCTTGGTAGTTATGTGCTTTGTGCTCACTCGGAGTGTTCAGCACCTTGGTAGCTATGTGCTTTGTGCTCACTCGGAGTGTTCAGCACCTTGGTAGTTATGTGCTTTGTGCTCACTCGGAGTGTTCAGCACCTTGGTAGCTATGTGCTTTGTGCTCACTCGGAGTGTTCAGCACCTTGGTAGTTATGTGCTTTGTGCTCACTCGGAGTGTTCAGCACCTTGGTAGTTATGTGCTTTGTGCTCACTCGGAGTGCTCAGCACCTTGGTAGCTATGTACTAGGTCGCTACGCTCACGTTGAGTGCTCAGCTCCGTGGTAGTCATATGCTCAGTGCCCCAAACCATGCTCAATTCCCTGACGATCAACACATCTACATCGTTTTGCATGCTCAGTGCCTGTCTGCCTGAGCCCACTGTCTCTCACCAAGGACTGAGCGCCTCTCACAGCCATTCAGGCCGAGACAGTCCAGTCACTATTCATGAGTGATTTATGGTATATGATTAATGAGGGAAGGGGGGGGGGGGGTTAGGGTTGTAACAATGAGGTTTCCCGAACCCATCGACTGTAGGACGTGAGTCGTCGATATCCAGGGTACTCTTTGGCAAGGAAGCTAGGAGTCAGTCGTCGATATCCTGGGTACTCTCTGGCAAGGAAGCTTAGTCAGTCGTCGATATCCTGGGTACTCTTTGGCAAGGAAGCTTAGTCAGTCGTCGATATCCTGGGTACTCTCTGGCAAGAAAGCTTAGTCAGTCGTCGATATCCTGGGTACTCTCTGGCAAGGAAGCTTAAAGAGTCAGTCGTCGATATCCTGGGTACTCTCTGGCAAGAAAGCTTAAAGAGTCAGTCGTCGATATCCTGGGTACTCTCTGGCAAGAAAGCTTAGTCAGTCGTCGATATCCTGGGTACTCTCTGGCAAGGAAGCTTAAAGAGTCAGTCGTCGATATCCTGGGTACTCTCTGGCAAGAAAGCTTAAAGAGTCAGTCGTCGATATCCTGGGTACTCTCTGGCAAGAAAGCTTAGAGTCAGTCGTCGATATCCTGGGTACTCTCTGGCAAGAAAGCTTAGAGTCAGTCGTCGATATCCTGGGTATCCCCTTCGTAAGGATTCTGTCTTGAAGACAGTGCATAGAACACTGACTTCTCTGTCTAAATATCTTTTTACTGTGAAGAAATGTGCCATCGAGGGTGTCAGTATTAGTGATAATGCATCTATCGCCGAAGAGACGTAAGTATTGACTAGAGTCTCTGTGATTGCGTCAAATTTGGGTCTTTCATGGATGAAGTCTTCCGAGGGGACATCGAGATGGTGTCGGGCGTTTGTGTTGACGGAGGAGCTTTAGACGCGGCCACAGGAGGACGCAGACGGTGAACTTGTCGAGGAGATCGATAACGACATGTGTGCTGACGTGCACGACGAGGGCGACGTCAGCGGAGGGAACAGAGCGAGGGCATTAGACGTATGTGTGTGTGTGTGTGTGTGTGTGTGTGTGTGTGTGTGTGTGTGTGTGTGTGTGTGTGTGTGTGTGTGTGTGTGTGTGTGTGTGTGTGTGTGTGTGTGCGTGCGTGAACACTCGGCGAAAAGTTGAAGGTCCTCTACTTGTGATTTCAACGAATTAGACTGCAATGCCTTTAGAGACGACGTTCAGACCGTACACATGCGTGGTGTATCTATCTGCACGTGGAAGATCAGCTCACACGACCAGACCAAACACTCTACTTGTAACATATTAGAGAAAAGTCAACAAGAAACAGGGGAAATAGCGGTACCCTCATGACTACACACAGGAGAAGAGCGGTAGGGATGGGTCTGGGGACGACATTGCAACTAGATATTAAAGGGATGGGGACGCCAGACGAAGATGGGAGAGGAAGAGAAACAGGAATTGATGGGCGGCACTTACCCCCTCCAATTCAGCCCCCTCTTCCACATTCAGGTACGTGGGGAGAGGGGGGGAGGGAGGGGGTAGAGGAGATGAGAAGAGAGATGAAAGATATGAGAAATACAGTCTTGAATTCGTAATGAAAAGGACACTTCCTCACAGGGCTGGTGGACCCCCTCCTCATACAAGCCAGGGGTTATGAATACATATAGCACCAGCCATATTTATGTATATTTCGTGAGTATGCGCGTGCATACATGGGAATCAATGGGCGTTCTTTAAGGGGGTGTAACATACTCGTGTCCCATTATATTTAATAATAATAAAAAAATATGAAAAGAATTTATTTGTAATGGAAGAAATATAATTACTGTGAACATTACTATGAATTAAGGAGAGTGATTGTATCACACTCGCGTCCAAATGTAGGATAAAGTTAAATAGATCACAGCAGTCTCGTATACTTGCATTGCAAATGCACTCGTATCCCCTTACCTTCAGTATGTAAACAACTGGAGACTGTTCGTATCCCCTTACCTTCAGTATGTAAACAACTCGAGACTGTTCGTATCCCCTTACCTTCAGTATGTAAACAACTGGAGACTGTTCGTATCCCCTTACCTTCAGTATGTAAACAACTCGAGACTGTTCGTATCCCCTTACCTTCAGTATGTAAACAACTGGAGACTGTTCGTATCCCCTTACCTTCAGTATGTAAACAACTCGAGACTGTTCGTATCCCCTTACCTTCAGTATGTAAACAACTCGAGACTGTTCGTATCCCCTTACCTTCAGTATGTAAACAACTCGAGACTGTTCGTATCCCCTTACCTTCAGTATGTAAACAACTCGAGACTGTTCGTATCCCCTTACCTTCGGAATGTAAACCACTCTAGACTGGATATCGTAACCTGTTTACTTTTTGCGATCATACGTTGTTACGGTCTAATATCGCCTGATAGTATACATATTAAACACACACTTTCATCATACAAATCATACGTTCTGGAGTAAGTACAGGCAGACCCTTGTATTTTGACCAGCTACAATGCCTTAATAAATATTATTTAACCTCAATAATAACCTGCGTTCCATCAGATATTCCTACGAAAATTCATGTGATCATCACTTTCTCTCAGTTAAATCAGTAACTCTCGTATCCCGTCGCTAACAGTACACACAAGCCAATGCCCAATTTACAAGGGTTAATTTTATGTTAATTTTTTAAACCAAGCCAGTAATTGGTATAATTATATGAAATGAAACTAATAAACTCCATTTCATATAATGGAATTGATAGTCCACACACTAGTGCTAACTAACAGTATTTTAAATACCACAACATCCAGTCTTCATAACTCCGTGTGACCCAACACTTGAGAAGATTTTCAAATACAGTTTAGAGGTGTATGTTATAGTCAACAGAACAGAGCCAACACAACACAGCCAACACAACACAGTCATCACAACACAGTCATCAGAACACAGTCATCAGAACACATCCAACACAACACAGCCAACACAACACAGCCAACACAACACATCCAACACAACACAGCCAACACAACACAGCCAACACAACACAGCCAACACAACACAGCCAACACAACACAGCCAACACAACACAGCCAACAAAACACAGCCAACACAACACAGCCAACACAACACAGCCAACACAACACAGCCAACACAACACAGCCAACACAACACAGTCATCACAACACAGCCAACACAACACAGCCAACACAACACAGCCAACACAACACAGCCAACACAACACAGCCAACACAACACAGCCAACACAACACAGCCAACACAACACAGCCAACACAACACAGCCAACACAACACAGCCAACACAACACAGCCAACACAACACAGCCAACACAACACAGCCAACACAACACAGTCATCACAACACAGTCATCTTACTCCAACTACCTTTTGCTTTTGCAGAATATGTATTTATGTATTATAATACATTGGTATTATTTAAATGTTGACTACAATTGTAACATTGTTCATGCCGTCCGCAGGTCCCCAACTCAACAACCACACGCTGCTGGAGTTCACTCAGAGCGATGCCGACGTGGGGTCTCTGAGGGTGACGGAGGCCGTTCTCTGGGTGAACGTGAGACGACCTTTTGGGGTCCGGCACCACGACCCCAGCCGCTCCAGGCTCTGGGTCTTCAGGGTGACTCCAGAGGATATCCGCCAGGTGAGAGAGAGAGAGAGAGAGAGAGAGAGAGAGAGAGAGAGAGAGAGAGAGAGAGAGAGAGAGAGAGAGAGAGAGAGAGAGAGAGAGAGAGAGAGAGAGAGAGAGAGAGAGACAGACAGACAGAGAAAAGAAAAGAGACAGAGAGGGAAGGGAATTATCAAGGGGATCACACCTGACCACAACACAGCTGATCACACCTGACCACAACACAACTGATCACACCAGACCACAACACAGCTGATCACACCAGACCACAACACAGCTGATCACACCAGACCACAACACAGCTGATCACACCAGACCACAACACAGCTGATCACACCTGACCACAACACAGCTGATCACACCTGACCACAACACAGCTGATCACACCTGACCACAACACAACTGATCACACCTGACCACAACACAACTGATCACACCTGACCACAACACAACTGATCAAAGTAAGAGTTATTCATCATACCAAAAACGACAAAATAGAAAAAGTCTTCTTCTGTGTGTGTGTATTTACTATGTATGCCTGCAATCCTAGTATATATATATGCCAGTGTATGTATGCCAAGTGTATGTAGACCTAATGTATGCCACGAGCTATTAGCTCGTGGACTACGCCTTTCTAACCAATCTACTTTTTCCTCTATTATTTTTCACTACATATATTTCTCTCTATCACACACACATACACCCAGGAAGCAGCCCTAAGCAGCTGTAACTGCCAGGTACCTATTTACTGCTAGGTGAACAGGGGGGGGCATCAGGGCGAAAGGAACTTTGCCCATTTGTTTCCGCCTCCGCCGGGAATCGAACCCGGGCCATTAAGACTACGACCCTCGAGCGTTGTCCACTTAGCCGTGAGGCTCCCACACGCCCTACACTGTGTGTGTGTGTGTGTGTGTGTGTGTGTGTGTGTGTGTGTGTGTGTGTGTGTGTGTGTGTGTGTGTGTGTATGTTTTCTCTTTGACGTTTCGACCATCAGTTGTTCAAATGCAATGAATTATTTTCGCTAGTTTTCTTCGTATATTTACATTTAAGAACTGTGCATCATTTCCCCCAAGATAACTTCCATATTTGAAACACGCGATGCCATCGTGTGTCGTCTGAGTGTGAAGGAGTAGTGTGTCTCCCACGACACAATAACCAAACAGGTTTAACAATGTTTATGTGGTTGCAGAACCCGTCGGCGGAGATGGTGTCTTCTCTGCACGTGACCAGCCCGAGGGAGGGGTGGCGGCGTCTGGACGTGACCTCGGCGGTCCAGCGATGGTTTGCGCGGCCAGGTGAGCGGCTGCGGTTACTGGTGGACTGTAGCGGCTGCAGCGGGGAGCTTGAGGCCGTCCTGTTCACTCCCCGCAAGCACAAAGGTGCTCACAAGCCTGGTTCACGGCGTGTAGAGGCCTACCACAGGCCTTTCCTGGTAGTGCACACGGCGCCCACCCCCTCCCGACGACTCTCCCGCCGCGCCCTCCAGTGTGATAAAGACACCAAAATGTGCTGCAAGCAGAACCTTTATATCTCCTTCAGTGAGCTGGGGTGGGACGACTGGATCATAGCGCCCAGCGGCTACAATGCCAACTACTGCAAAGGCTCGTGCGCCAGTGTCTTCCGTTCGCCCGACTCCTTCACCCATTTTTATTCTCAGATGCTGGAGGAGGTGAGTCGGCATCGGCCCCCGGGCGCACTGACGCAGTGCTGCGCACCCACCAAGCTCTCGCCCATGTCGCTCATCTACCTGGATGAGATCTCCAACATCATCAAGCGCGATGTGCCCCGCATGGTGGTGGAGGAGTGTGGGTGCGCGTAACGCCAGGCGCGCGGAGAGAGCCACCCCCCGTGTGATGGTTGACTGTGATGCCGTGCCCGACGCAGCTTCGCCGGGCGCCACGCGTTCCTCCAAGGGACGAACTTCGGATATAGTCTGATCTGTGATCATAACTTTAAGCAAAGTTGTCGTTGTGTTGTTATTTGTTGTTCTTCTTGTACAGACTTGTAAAGTGTGCGGGCCAGAGTAGCCGCTGCCGCCGCCGCCGCCGCCGCTGCCGCCGCCGCGTCCAGGAGCCACCAGCAGGGTGCAGGGGTTGCCCACACACACACACCCTCACTGCTCCGCCCTCCACATCATTGCTGCCTCACCCACTGTTGCCTGGTGGTGGTGTCCCGCCCACTGTCTTATGTGTCTGCTCACTGCCGCCCACATGTGCCGCCCGTCACCCATTGACGACCTACTACCCGCCCGCTGCTCATGCATCCGCCCAGTGTGTGTGTCCGCCCACCAGCCTGTGTTCACACGTCCGCCCACCGCCCTGTGTCCGCCCATATTATATTCGCGCCGTGTCTGCATCGTACAGTCTTTGTGTGTTGGACGTGTCCCTCCCACCAGACTGTGGGCGTCGCACCCGCCACGATCACCATGACTCATTACGCCCACACCCAGCCTAGGATAACGCCCATGCTGGGCTTCACTGCCCAGCCTAAACTCCTTTGCCTATGTCCGGCCTAGGACCACCCGGCCACCGCCTTGTAAAGACCACGCCGGCCACTCCTAGGGACATCCACGTGGTCACAGCCTGCTGAGGTTCTCCTAGCCATGGCCTGGCTAGGACTACAAGGTCTTGACCAAACCCAGGTGACCACAGCCTCGCTTGACACGCCCCAACCTCACCGTCTCCAGAACCCGTGACACGAGAGCATGAGACATATACCCCCAGCTGAGTGTGACACTGACCCACCAAGAGGGCGCCGTGGCCCTCCCTGCCTTATAGGAACTCCTGCCGGGGGATCCACTAGCCTGAGGTAGACGCCATACCGTAGGCAGAGCAAAAGAAGTTTGGTGCGCCGGAGAAATTTTCTGCCTATGTGTGATAATAACTAATAGAGTAAATATAAGAAATGTAGAGAGAAAAAGTGATAGGTTTAACCTATTCCAAATGTGCTCATATTTGGTGTGGAGCAAGCAACACACTTGAGTGTCGCCGGTGGTGCTAGGTTTGTACCTTGTGACACGTCTAACATTCCTCGTTACGCCGCACCTGTGATGCGAGCAAAATAATTTCTTAATAAGTTAAGAGCGTATAAAACAAGAATGTCTTTCATGAAGGCACTATCGGAGAGAGTCTCTTCCTAAAGCAGTAAATGATCTCGAAGTGTAGTGGCTGAGAGGAGGGGCTGCAACAAGATGGAAACCAAGGACAAGAACCCGTCTCACTTGCAACACGAAGGACCTGGGACACAAATTTGTCGCGTCTGCAACATGTGTCAAAGGTCCAGCCATTGTCGCAGTGCACGGTGAGAGCGAGGGGTGATGTGCAGTCCCTTTTTCTTTGTCACCCATGAGAGATATGTTTGGTTCAACCTCCCCTCGCCGGGCTATAACGCCAGGCACACCCGCCAGGCACACCTGCCAGGCACACCCGCCAGGCACACCTGCCAGGGGGTTCGAGAGTGGTCCTTCTCACCTGAGCACCCGCGTCCTGCCAAATGTGTTTGCAAACATGTGTCACATTCATCGATTAGTTAGTGTCAAAGGTCAGTTAGGGTGTAAAAGTATTTAAGATCACAGATGTGTAAATGTTCTGCTTGTGATACCTTACCTAAAAGTTGGATAAAATGCCTTCTAAGTACTGGAATTCAGTTGATGGAAAATCTTGCCTTGATTCAGCCCTTCTGGCTGAATATCAGTCACATTTACGCAAAATAATATTAACATTTTCCATTTCGTACAGCTCCTATTATTTTGTCTTGTAGTGGGGGAAGCCAAGCAACGTTGTACAGGGGCAAGTTTTCCACAATACTGAGAAAAGTTGATGTATCACGGGCGAACATTGTACTCAAGAGTGTTCAAATACGACCAGATATTAAGTTTTGTTGTATGTGGACTTGTTAAGGTGGTGAGGGGAACTAGGGGGTCGTCACGTGCTCAGGTGAGGACCTAGTCTGTACTGCTTTGTCTTATAAAGATGTGAACAAAATCTAATTTCACTGTGTACCGACAGTTTCATCTCTTCGTCAGAGGATGATCTAGAGGCTAACATAACTTATGATATGGTTTCATTGACGATAATGATGAGTTATATATATATATATATATATATATATATATATATATATATATATATATATATATATATATATATATATATATATATATATATGCGAAAAAACCACAAAGAAATGGGGGAGAGAGACGAACGTTTCGGCCTGTTAAAGCCGTTGTCAACACCAGACTATTGTCCGGTGACTGTTTCGGCTTTAACAGGCCGAAACGTTCATCTCTCTTCCCCATTTCTTTGTGATTTTTCCGCATACAAATGATCAGTGTTTAGTGATCGTCAATTGCATATATATATATATATATATATATATATATATATATATATATATATATATATATATATATATATATATATATATATATAAACGTCAAATCATTAAATTATCATGCATTTGGTATTGTTTTGCCATGTACTGTAAATGTTATATGTGATAACAATTTTTTTATGGTTACGTATTAGGGATTTCAGTCCACTTTGAAAATGAAATACTTTATTTTAGTACAAAAAAGTAAACAAATATTTTCATAATCATTCCAAAACACTTTTGTATAATTATATTTCTTTTCATTAAAGATTTTACTTAGCGCTCGATACCTAATTTCATATTGTATATTTCTTCCGTATAAAGCCGCATACTTTTGTACTTTTCCATACGTGCTTCTTCTCTTGTAAGCCGGAGATTCCGTGCACTTTATGAACACTTATATACGTATAAGTGTAACGTATATGAGTTTACATCAGTAACGCCATGTTGGTCCGTGTTGTACCAGCCGGCCCCTTCTGCCGCCTCCCTTCAGGGGAGAGAGCGCTCTTGGACCACTAAGTTATTGTTCTCCTCTCTGCTATCTTAACAGCAGTTAGTTGCCATGTGTTTACACACACACACACACACACACACACACACACACACACACACACACACACGTTCAGTACACACACACACACACACGTTCAATACACACACACACACGTCCAATACACAAACACACACACACACGTTCAGTACACACACACACACACACACGTTCAATACACACACACACACGTTCACACACGTCCAATACACAAACACACACACACACATACACACACACACCTTCAGTACACACACACACACACACGTTCAATACACACACACACACGTTCACACACGTCCAATACACAAACACACACACACGTTCAGTACACACACACACGTTCAATACACACACACACACGTTCACACACGTCCAATACACAAACACACACACACGTTCACACACGTTCAATACACAAACACGTCCAATACACGTTCACACACGTCCAATACACAAACACACACGTCCAATACACAAACACACACACACGTTCAATACACAAACACACACGTCCAATACACAAACACACACGTCCAATACACAAACACACACGTTCAATACACAAACACACACGTTCAATACACAAACACATCGATTCACGTCCAGCAAACCATCTCAAACGACTCCACTCAGACACATTCGTCGACAATTTGCAATCATTTCCCACACAAACACACACACTCACAAACACACACACTCACAAACACACACACTCACAAGCACCTGTTTGTTTGACCATAACGGAATCATCCCCCCACGATGCCTCTGCTCTTCATCCTATGGCAAGGTGTCCCTCTGGCCTCGTGAACTGGGGTTGGCACTCCCCCCCCCCGTCATTAGTGCCAGCCTCTCCAAGAGGAGTGGCACCAGCCCTCCAAGAGGAGTGGCACCAGCCCTCCAAGAGGAGTGGCACCAGCCTCTCCAAGAGGAGTGGCACCAGCCTCTCCAAGAGGAGTGGCACCAGCCCTCCAAGAGGAGTGGCACCAGCCCTCCAAGAGGAGTGGCACCAGCCTCTCCAAGAGGAGTGGCACCAGCCTCTCCAAGAGGAGTGGCACCAGCCTCTCCAAGAGGAGTGGCACCAGCCTCTCTAGGGTACTGTAATTCACACCATTTAGGATCATTTCAGTGTATCTGTCAATCTTAAAGTAATAAAAACACTTATTTTGTTAAGAATTTTAATTATCTGATTTTATTAAATATTATTATTATTATTATCGTCCTCATTTTTATTATTAAAATTGAAATTGTTTATATCGTTAATGATAACTTTTTATAATGTACTTTTAATCTTTACAAAGACTGTTTGTTATAGAGGACTTGATAGTGAAAAATGGCTTGAATTAAGCGTTAATGCATACATATTTGGTCTATTAGTGTTGTTCATACTTTTCTGTTTATAATGCAGTATCATAACAATAAATTATATTTGTTAAATTATTTTCACAGCTGTATTAAATATTATTATAATTATTATGGATATTATTATACTTTGGATTATAAGCTTATTATTATTATTTTAATTCCAATATTATTATAGTATATTGTAATGATATAATAATAATAATTTTAGTAACATTTTGTTTATGCAAACTGGATATGATAACTACTTGAAATTTATTATTTGTATAATATATATATATATTCTTGTTTACTATCGAACGTTATCTAGGTTTTATACCATTGTAGATTAGAGTTAAGTGATGGTCATCTGTCGCCACGATACTAACTAGTTATTTATCGTTTCTCTTTACCATAACTTAGTAACCACAAAGAAATGGGGGAGAGAGACGAACGTTTCGGCCTGTTAAAGCCGTTGTCAACACCAGACTGTTGTCCGGTGACTGTTTCGGCTTTAACAGGCCGAAACGTTCATCTCTCTATATATATAATATATAACACCTCAAGAGTATTCATTTCCTTATCTTGAACAGGACAGAATGTCATCTCGTTTATCTATATATCAGAAAAAAACATATCTCATGGAATCGAATATACGACTCCATTGAACATGCGTGTTGATAGGACAGCAGCTCCCCCCCCCCCCCACTCACACACTCACAAACACACACACTAGGTGAGTACACACACACACACACACACACACACACACACACACACACACACACACACACACACACACACACACACACACTAGGTGAGTACACACACACACACACACACACACCTTGTAATGAAATTGAGGATAGGGACAGACAGATTCACTACAAACGACAAGTGTGTGAAGAACTCAATAAGAAATTTCAGGAGGTCTTCACAGTAGAGCAAGGAGAATTCCCAGAGAAAAGAGAGGGAATATCTAACCAGACACCACTAGAGGAGTTTGTGATTACCAGGGGGAGGGGGGGAGGTGAGGAAGCATCTGCTAGATTTGGTTGTGACAAAGGCTATAGACCATGATGGAATCTCACCTTGGATACTAAAGGAAGGAGCAGAAGCTCTGTGCCTGCCACTATCCATGGTGTACAGCAAATCACTGGTAACAGGTGAACTGCCAAAAATTGGGAAGACGGCCCAATATACAAGAAAGGTGATAGACAAGAGGCACTGAACTACAGGACAGTATCCCTAATTTGCATACCATGCAAGATGATGGAGAAGATTGTGCGAAAAAAATCTTGTGGAACACCTGGAGGGAAAGAACTTTGTAGCACACCATCAGCATGGGTTAAGTGATGGCAAATCATGACTCACAGGATTAAATGAATTCTATGACCAGGCGACACAAATCAGGCAAGATAGAGAGGGCTGGACAGACTGCATATTTTTGGATTGCATAAAAACCTTTGACACAGTACCACATAAGACACTAGTACACAAACTGGAGAGGAAGGCCAGAGTGAAAGGGAAGGTACTCTACTTAATAAGGGAGTATCTAAGCAAAAGAAGACAGCGAGTCACTGTGAGGGGTGAGGTCTCGGAGTGGCGAGGCGTCAAAAGTGGAGTCCCACAGGGATCAGTCCTTGGACCTATACTGTTTCTAATATATGTAAATGATCTCCCAGAAGGATCTCCTCTCAATGTTTGCTGACGATACAAAAATTATGAGGAGGATTAAGACAGAATAAGATAGTATAAGGCTACAAGATGACCTAGACAAACTGAAAGAATGGTCCAACAAATGGCTACTAAAGTTCAACCCAAGTAAATGTAAGGTGATGAAACTAGGCGGAGGAAATAGGAGGTCAGACACTAGATACCAAATGGGATATGAAGTCCTTCACGAAACGGACAGAAAGAAAGATCTAAGAGTTGATATCACGCCAAACCAATCTCCTAAAGCCCACATCAAAAGAGTAACATCAGCGGCGTATGTGAGGCTGGCTAATATCAGAGTTGCCTTCAGAAACCTATGTAAGGAATCCTTTAGACTCTTGTACACCACATATGTAAGAAGAATCCTGGAGTATGCGCCCCCAGCATCGAGCCCGTACCTTGTCGAGCACAAGACGAAGCTGGAGAAAGTTCAGAGGTATGCCACAAGGTTAGTCCCAGAACTAAGAGGCATGAGTTATGAGAAAAGGCTGCGTGAACTGCACCTCGCGTTGCTGGAAGGCAAAAAGAGCTCGGGAGACATGATCACAACATACACAATTCTCATGGGAATTAACAGGGTAGACAAGGATGGATTGTTTAACACGGGTGGTACACGCACAAGGGGACACAAGTGGAAACCGAGTACCCAAATAAGCCACAGAGACAATAGAAAGACCTTTTTCAGTGTCAGAGTAGTTAGTAAATGGAATGCACTAGGAAGTGATGTGGTGGAGGCTGACTCCATACACAGTTTCAAATGTAGATATGATAGAGCCCAGTAGGCTCAGGAATCTGTACACCAGTTGATTGACGGTTGAGAGGCAGAACCAAAGCCAAAGCTCAACACCCGCAAGTACAACTAGGTGAGTACACACACACACACACACACACACACACACACACACACACACACACACACACACACACACACACACACACACACACACACACACACACACACACACACACACACACACACACACACACACACACACACACACACACACACACACACACACACACACACACACACACACACACACACACACACACACGCGCGCGCGCACGCAATATTCTCGGCCGTATTTCAACGTGATCCACCGCTCATTTTCGATGCCC